ACTCTCTCTCTCTCTCTCTCTCTCTCTCTCTCTCTCTCTCTCTCTCTCTCTCTCTCTCTCTCTCTCTTTTCAAATTCTCCTTCCCCACCTCCATATGACCTATTTGTCTTGTTCGTTTGCTCTCTGTTATAGGTGTAAGCCTATTTGATTTTATGGGGTTGTTTTTTAAACTTGGAGGAGTTTTTAATTGTATTTTATTTATCTTTAGCATTTGGGCAAAGTCTTGGTATTGGCAAGATAAGGGAAGTATTCCACACACAGTAGGGAAAAGTATTGATGGAAATGTGATGTATTGTCAGAATTAAATTTTAGTCTCTAGTTAAAGATTATTCATTAAAGTTCAACTTGATTTTTCAAGATAAATCGTCTCTGATTAATCTTAGATGAACAGTCTAAGTCTTGAATAGAGTAAATAGAAAAGTGGGTGTCCTTATTTCTTGTATGTAAAGTGGTTTTTCTTTTTTCCCTTATTTTCCAACCGACTGTGAAAAACACATGAGAATGGTGCCTGATATTTCCTTCACCAGTACTTTCTTTGCTTTGCTTCGGGTGTTGGGTGGGGCCTTGAGATGGGTTAACATGGGACTGTGGTCCTTGACTTTCTCTTTAACTTCATTTTTGTATTGCTGTTCCTGTAATAGGTAGCTATGAGAGTGATACGAATTTTAGATATGACCCAACAATTGTTATTTTGTCGTCTGTTTTCTGTCTCTCTATTCAGCCACTTCTGGGAGTTCGCCATGACCATCTATGTGGATGAAATTGTCTACATACATTGCCACCAACAGCGTAAGTCATGTGTGTGTGTGTGGGGGAGGGGGGTGTGCATGTGTGGGTGTATGTGTGTGTGTAAGTTTGTGTGTGTGTGCTTGTGTACGTGCATGTGTAAGTTTGTGTGTGTGTGTGCTTGTGTACGTGCATGTGTTGGGAGCGGGGGACACATGTATAGCTACAAATGTACACTATTGAAGAATCTGCTGTATTGGGTCCACTGACCAAAATTGACAATTTTCAGTATGTTCTTCTGCTATGTTCTTTTCTGTAAGTGAGGCTGTTAGTGTACGTTCAAATCCTAAATAAGTTTTTCTGGAGTACCTCGGTCTTTGCTGACAAATTAATCCGGTTCACCTTTGATCACCCAAGTCTCTCTGTACTAAGGGTATATTTATACGCGAGAAAAAGGTGACTTATAGTTTATTTATCGTGGGTGGTTGGCGGGTGTTTTGGTGCGGTTTGTTTCTTCTTTCCTTATCAAACATCTATCATCTTTATCTCTCCTCCTTTTTTTGTGTTAGTTACTCTCTTGTAACACCTCTAATCTTTGGCACTTATATGAACTTATTGTGTTGCAAGTGCCATAAAACGCTTAATAAAACTTAAAAAGGCAGGCCTTTGATTGCCCAGGTTTTAACATGTACTTAGGGTATTTATGCTGAAGTAAAAATAGGTTCTGTATACTTTATTTGTGTCACGAGGCAGTGGAATCAGGCACTCGTCAATTTTTGGGCATTTGGAGTAATTGGTATCATAAAGCTTTTCCATTTCCCTTGCTTTTTATGAAATTAGTACATATTTATCTTGAATAGAAGTGTAGATATTTGCCATTGAAAGAGGTGGGGGTAGCGTGGTTTCAGGGGTAAAATTAGCGAGAAAATGGCAGCCAAAGTATGGTGACGCCTTTAGCTTGACAGTCCAATCAAACTGAATATTTACATATTTTGTGCTGTTAAACAACGTTTTCCGTAAAATTCACATGGAAATGTGTTTATTTATGGACAAAAAAGGTGTTGAGCAAAAAACGAAAAAAATTGATAAAAACTGACGAAGTGGAGGGAAAATGCCTGTTTTTTCGATTTCATTATTTTGACGAGTGTCTGATTTCACCACGCACGATTCCTCATATTTATTGTCTTTCATGACCCCCCTCAGCGGACTGCCGTGGGACTGTGGTGCTGGTCGGGCAAGACGGCGTGCAGCGACCCCCAATCCACTTCCCCAAGGGAGGCCACCTCTTGTCCTTCCTCTCCTGCCTGGAGAACGGCCTGCAGCCCTCGGGCCAGCTCGACCCGCCGCTGTGGTCTCAGAAAGGCAAAGGTAAAAACACCGGCAAGTGACCTCCTTCTTCTTCCTCCTCCTCCTCCTGCACCCTCCCTCCCTCCTCTCCTCACCCGGCTGTCGTGTGCTCCCTGCCCTGTTTGTTCTGTTGGTCCTCACTCTCCTCATGCCCCGTGGAATGACAGGACGGGAGCACATGCTCTAAGCTAGAAGTGTCAAACTCAATGGCCCGCGATATGCATCCAGGGTGGCAAAAAAATTATATCCAGCCAGCTAGAGAATAGAGATAAAGGTCTTGAACATCTAGCTCTCACTGGCAAAACTGAAGGCAAACAAGGCAGGGGTAGATCCAGAGCAACCTACTTAGGGAACTTAAACAAATGGGTAACAGGGAAAGATTAGGGAAACATAGCTTTTTAAGAGCATCCGAGCAAAGGAATGAATGGAGAACCATGATCGCCGATGTCTGCCACAGATCTGGCACTGGATGATGGTGGTGATGATCCTGAGAATCTCCATAACACAGAACCTTACCCCAAACATTAATAAACTTGTTGCCGGGAAAAGATGTCACACATCCAGCTCTGACAAACTGACTTAACCCTTTGAGCCTTCATGTATTTTGTATATCTGAGACTGTCTTTGGTTCTTTTTTCATTGAACTCTT